ATCAGTTTGAAGTGTATGAGCGTGTCATAGACAATAGCTTTTCATGCAGTCATAATCGACTGCAATACTGAGTAAACCAACGGTCTAAGAGAAAGCTCAGCGATGTCTATCATCATCATGGACGTGCTAGTAAGATTGAATGTAACGATCAAAGACAATGATTTAGCAGATCATTGAAACGATACAAGTTTCGAATAAGTGATTGCAGAATATGCGGATGAAATGTCGAAGAGCGAATTCATGAAAGAGATATCGCTAATGAAGACACTCGGCTATCACGAACGATTGGTCAACATGCTTGCTTGCATCACCGATTCTGAACCGTATTGTCTCGTGGTTGAGTACTGCTCTGATGGTGACCTGTTGCAGTTCCTTAGAGATCGTTGCAAGTATATGCTTAAGGTGAATGTTTCGTCGAGAACTTTCATTGAAGTTAGAGTTTTCCAGAAGCGAAGAAATTCGAAAGAATTCAAATGCATAGAGCCGCAGAAATTCTCACCTCACAGAGCAAAACAGAAACGGAACAAATAACTACGCAGTATAAATTATACTGTCAGAATATTATCTTTTAAATGAAATTCTCAATTTTTTCTAGTTGATAGATTGCTGAAAATTTAACTCAGAGGCAACTGCCACTGTTGTGGATTCATGGAACCACTTCTCAAATTTGCTGATTCGTAAAGAATTTCGAGTTTGGCGATCGAATGATCTGCTGAATGATCAATGATGTGCTGAACATCATGCAGTAACAATTACAAGGATTTGCTATAGATACAAAAGTATTTCAGCTAACTGATATGGGAATTGATTACGATAATCCGATGTCAGATGCTGACTTTGACGTGGATATGATTATAACACTGAAACAATTGCTTATGTTTGCTGTTCAAATCAGTTATGGATTAGTGAGTTTTGCATTCGATGATCTCANCGTCAAACGGTATTCTTGAGTTTTGGTGAAGAGGGCTCGAAGGAATGATTTATTTTGTATCCTATCGTAAATATGTGATTGTGATGCGATATGAAAGCGAATCATTAACTGTGATTGCAGGAATACTTAAGTCAAAAAGGTTTCGTTCACCGGGACGTGGCAGCCAGAAACGTTTTGGTTCATGATAAAACAAACGCGAAGATCGGTGATTTTGGTCTGTGTCGTTACATCTACGCACAGAGTGCCAACTATAAGGGGAAAGGTGGTCGTTTACCGGTCAAATGGATGAGTCCCGAGGCGATAAAATATTACGAATTCACAACCAAATCCGATGTGTTAGTAGTTCCATGTGCTATAGTTGATTTGAGTATCTTCAATGATCATCCGCATTTACGAGGAAGTTTTAAACTCAAATAAACTTAAACTTAAGCTCAATATGTTCTTGATGATTTTCGATTTACGAAACAAAGCACTGCTTTCAGCTGGTCCTTTGGAATACTGATGTTCGAAATTATTACACTCGGAGGATCGCCTTACCCCGGAATTCAACCGGATGATATGATGGAACATCTGGATGCTGGTGAGCGAATGGAGAAACCGGATAACTGCCCTGACGATTTGTAAGAGACATTTCATTCCAGATCTTAAAATATCACTGACAATTTGCATAGAGGATTCAAGAGAACACACTGGGAAACTTCGGAATGTGAGCAACTTCGGAAGCTTGATCAGCGTTGATTAGTAATGATCATCCCAAGTGATCAGCTTTGCATAAATTTCTGACTATTTTTTATGTGTTCAGTTGTCTCATTACCATTTTGCTTACTATTGGCCAATATTCTGCTAACCAGAGAATACTGTGAATTCAGCTATGAGCTAATGAAATGGTGTTGGGCAAAGGAACCGGCAAAGCGACCTGAATTTGGTACTATTCGTCAGCGATTAGCCGCTCAGCTGGAAGAGGTCACCGATGAGTATTCCTACCTGAAATTGGATTCTCAACGCGATTATTATAATGTGCCATACGGAGGTGTTACTACGGTCAGTTAACTGTAATATTTTTTCACAATGAACCTTATTTCTTTCAGTCTTTTACACTCTTTTACATTTAGTTTCTTCAGTTTTCGGTCCTGTTGCTTCATCAGCCACTTTATACGATAAGTGCTCATTCAAGTGCATGACTCGTTACTGAGATCAGAATGAAAATTTAGATTTAACTTGATTTTCTCCACGCACTTTACGAATATCCAACTGTATTGTGCTTTTCGTTCTTCAGCGCGAGCAAGAAACCACGTCTGGCGATGACAAATCAGCGTTGAAGGAGTTAAACGAATCTGAGCTGGCGACTCTGGAAGACATTCCGCTGTCACCGTCATCCTCAGCCACAACGCTAGACCCTGCAATGAAGAGTGATGGTGACGTCTGCACATGCCCTCACCCACAACAACAGCAACAACCATCAGAATCCGAACAGAATCCTGCCGCACTATCACTATCATCATATATCAGTCAAGATGCAAATCACAGTCCCTCTCATTGTCAGGGTGAACCAACCAACCAAAAGTGTCATATAAATCGTGCATTCGTACTGCGTTAATGAATTTAACATGTAGTGTTTCTCTCGGCTTAGAGGGTGTTGTGCTGATGAAGGACAATTCAGTTGATGAATTTCGTTACTTTAAACCAAACGTGAGTTCTGAACGTGTGGGTAGGTGATAGAAGATGGAACATATTCGGTTTCAGCAACTGTTTGTTTGCGATCGTCATTAGATCAAATGCATGAAGATGGAGTGGAATTTTATCTGTGGTGATACCCTTTCCCAAAGGCAATTATTTTTGAGCAACAGCAAATTTCCACTTCGAATAGAGCATGTAATTTCCTCTCATTTGGGATCCTACTACATGTGATGGAATCAGAAATCACAAGATTGATATCAAAATCTGATTGTGCTGATTGGATTGAATAATTTGCTCACTGGGTTTGAATGGTACTCATTTTTGAGGAATAATTTTGGATTTTATAAATTTGTTAAATGCAATACGGTGTAAATGATGATTTCTCATACTTATTCGAAACACTCAAATGTCTCATTATAAAACTAATATTATACAGATACACTTTTTCGTTGCTTCATTCGAATCGGTAATCTGTTAACTTCGTATCATTAGAGCAACTTGTGGATTGCATTACATATTTTGTTCTCAGAACATGTGACTCTTCCATCTATTATTCACCTAAGTCATTTTGCCTGTATTGTTCACTGCAGAATTGAAATATGCATGAAACGAAACCCCACAATTGCTTGCTTACTCAACAAAATGTATTTGTGCAATAGTTTTTGCGTGGTTCTGGAAAAGCATCGTTGACGAGCATGAACGTCAGGTAC